GAGCCCAGCAGGTCAAGGTTGTGGTAGCCGGGAGCGGCCACTGCACTCCAGTCTGGGCGACAGAGTGAGACCCCAACTCAAAAAAATAAAAAAAGAAAAGAAAAGAAATATATAGCATCACCACCTCAGCTCCACCTCCATCACCAGGATCAAATTCTCCTAAGGAGAGCACAACCTAGATCCCTCACAGACAGTTCACAATAGGGTTCACTCCTATGAGAATCCGATGCCTCCACTGATCTGACAGAAGATGGAGCTCAGATGGGGGAAATCTGATGGTAATGCTAGCGAAGGGCTGTAAATGCAAATGAAGCACTGCTCACCTCTAACATGCAATGGACAGTGCCTGAGTTGAGGACCCCACTTTAAGGTGTTAAGGTCTTTAAAAACAATGAGAGGCAAACACCATCCTCGACAGGAGAGCACTAGGAGACAGGACGATGACACACAAGGTGGAATTCTGACAGGAAAAGGGCATTCCAGGGAAACTGAAACCTCCACAGTAACATCCGCAGTTTAACTGAGTATGGGGCCAACGTTACTTTCTCGGGCCTGATTCTCGTTCAACGTGGGTTGTGCAAAGTTCTGGTGCTGAGTTCAACTGAACGCTACTGGACTGACATTTGGGTGAAACTTAAATCTCCGGTGTGTAGAGCCACCAGAGGCCCCAGTTTCCCCGGAACTGGGGGGGGGGAGGCGTTCGGGAAACAGGGCGCCCAGAGGAGGAAGGGGGGGTCCCCCGGGAGCAGGGGTGACGGGGAGGACCCGGGGAAAGGGGGCGCTGAGGAAGGGGGTCCCCGGGGAGCAAAGGGGCCAGAGGATACCGGGAGGGGGTGCGGGACGGAATGGGATACCCGGGGGGATGCAGGACAGAGGGGAATACCTAGGGGGTGCGGGTCAGAGGGGGATACCTGGAGGAATGCGGGACGGAAGGGGATAACCAGGGGGATGCGGGACCGAAGCCGCTGCGCCCACGAGGGCCCCAGCCTGGCGGTCCCCCCGGGACAGCCCCCGAGCGCGGGCTCCCAGGCGGGACAGGCGGAGGCTCGGGCGGAAAGGGCGGGGCGGCCGGCGAAACCTGCCCGGGCGCGGCACCACCCACTCTCGCGGTCTCCTGCGCCCACCTACCCAGCAGCTCAGCCCAAGACCTCCGGGATGCCCCCGGCCAGGGGCCGAGAGAGGAGACCGGCGTCTCGGAGTCAGACATGAACACAGCGCGCCCAGGCCCAGCGGCGGCTCGCGGCGCCCGATCCCGCGCTGCCTTCCCATTGGCTGCGGTCAGGCGCGCACGCCCATTGGCTGGCGGCTTACAGACCACGCCCATCGGGGAAGTGGAGGGACCTCGCAGCCATCTTGGTGGTGGCGTCTGGCGATCATCTTGAGAGTGGCAAAGACGAAGGAGACGCCTGACCGTACGTGTTAATTTGGTGCTCGAAGCTGGCGGTGTGGATTTTTTTTTTTTTTTGAGTCGGAGTCTCACTCTGTATCCCAGGCTAGACTGCAGTGGCACGCTCAAGGCCACCGCAGCTTCGACATACTGGGCTCAGGCGATCCTTCTGCCTCAGCCTTCCAAGTAGCTGGAACCACGGGCATGCGCTACCACATCCGGCTAATTTTTTTTTTTAATTTATTGTAGAGATGAGGGCTCGCCAAGTTGCCCAGGCTGATCTCGAACCCGTGGGCTCAGGCAATCCTCTCCCCTCAGCCTCCCAAAGTGCTGGGATTATAGGCGTGAGCCACCGTGCCCAGCCTCTTTAAAAACCTTTGTTTTGTTTTTTGAGTCAAAGTCTCACTCTGTCTCCCAGGCTGGAGTGCTAGGCTCAGGCAATTCTTCCACCTCAGCCCAAGGAGCTGGAATCACAGGCACGAGCCACCACACCCAGCTAATTTTTTTTTTAATTGATTGTAGAGATGAGGTCTCGCCAAGTTGCCCAGGCTGGTCTCCAACCCCTGGGCTCAGGCAGTCCTCTCACCTCGGCCTCCCAAAGTGCTGGAATTATAGGTGTGAGCCACTGCACCTGGCCAGGCGGTGTGGATTAACAAAAGCATCACATGAGAGGAAACGGTGACATCTCTTATGCATTATTCCTGCTGGGAAGGACCCAGAGATGGTCACGAAGAGAGTCTGACAAACTCAAATTGAAGGAGATGCTCAAGGCCCTGGCCTGCATCTTCAAACGGCTATGGATCTCCTGGGCCTGCCGTGAAGACAGGACGTGTGCCCTGGACTGCTCTGTCTACCCTGTGGGGTTCCCTGCAGTGCTGGACGGCCTGGACCCCCGCCCCATGGCAGGTGCTCAGTGTGAGACAGGCTGGCCAGCTTAGGCAAGGGGCAATGGAAACATCCCTGAGCCAGGTTGAGAAGCTTCCTGCAGCTTGTAACTAACCTGAAACTGACAGGGACAACTAGACTAAGCCAGCTCTCCCTGCCCCTCTCCCCCATGCAGGTCCCTGCACTCCCCTCTCTCCAGTGTGTACTTTTTGTTCAAATTAAAGCTCTTTCCTTTCTGTGACTTAGAGTCGAGAGCCTGGTATGGGTTAAGATCTCACCCCTTGGCTGGGTTTGGTGCCTCAGCCTGTAATCCCAGCACTTTGGGAGGCCAAGGTGAGTGGATTGTCTCAGCCTGCAGGTTCAAGCCCGCCCAGGCAACTTGGCGAGACCTCAGGCTCTACAATCAATCAAAAATGAAAATCAGCTAGTCATGGTAGCACGCACCATGACTAGTAGTAGTAGTTGTAGTTCCGGCAACTTGGAAGGCGGAAGGATTGCCGGAGCCCAGCAGGCCGACACCAGGGTGGCCGTGAGCATGCGTGCCACTGCACTTCAGCCTGGGTGAAGGAGTGAGACTCCAACTCAAAAAAAAAAAAGATCTCACCCCTCGAGAAGAGACTTCCAGCTCCCCAAGGAGTCAGCAGGGAGGCATGCTGGGCCTAACTGGGAATGCTGTCTCTCTTGCTGGGGCGATCCTCCTCAAGCCTGGCTGTGGCACGAGGACCTGAAGGTTGGATTTCCTTAACTTTGATTAATGTGAGTGTGGTGCCAGCCAGTGTTGACCCCTACCGCATTGCACATGCCATGCAACACTGTGGTTGAAAAGGAGCTAAGAGGCCGGGCTCGGTGGCTCAGCCTGTAATCCCGCACTTTGGGAGGCCAAGGTGAGTGAATTGCCTGAGCACACGGGTTCAAGAGCCGCCCGGGAAACTTGGCGAGACCTCATCTCTACAATAAATCAAAAAATTAGCCAGGCGTGGTAGCGTGCGCCTGTAGTTCCAGCTACTCGGAAGGCTGAGGCAGAAGGATCGCCGGAGCCCAGCAGGTCGAGGCTGCGGTGGCCGGGAGCATGCCACTGCACTCGTCTAGGTGACTGAGTGAGACTCCAACTCAAAAAAAAAACAAGAAAAGCAGCTAAGAGTCAGGACCTGGGGTTCTTCTGAGGTTTTCCCTCAATATTACCATCTATGGGGTGTGCAGCTGTAGTTTGCTTCTTTCGTGGCTCTTTAGTATTTCACATGCAAACAGTTAAGGCTAGGGTGGCTGAATGCTAGAAGCAGTTGAAGCCTCCAAGTGTGATTTCCACACTGCCTGGTGCTGGGCGCCAGCAGGGACAGAAACCAGTCTGTGATGTTTGCTTCATTTCACGAATGATAAGAATAAATTGTAAGAAACCAATTAAATAATAACATGAGTTTTTTTATTGCCTGGAATTGAAGGAATTCTTTTAGATTTGTTTAGACAAATCTCACTGTTTATCACTTTTATGCATATGTGAAAACACAAATGTAATTAAAAAATCTGTGGGAGGTGTCCTGAAATGTCCTGCCATTTGCTTTCTGGCCCTTCTGAATTACCACCAGCTCAGCTCAGTGTCCAGGACTTCTCGCCGCATCGTGCAGTGTGCTATGAAGACTGCTTGTGATGTGGAATCCTCTCATAGAGAGGATCATCGTCCTCTCCTGAATTCCTTCCAAACCCCTGGAAACTGTAAGCTTTCAAGTTTGTACACAGGCTGTGTGCACCCTTCACAGCTGCTGCTGGGTTAAGTGGAATAAGCTACACCTGAGACTCCATGGAGGATGGAGCATGCCAGACACTCTGTATATGCCTTGTGGATTGCAAAAACATGACCATGACTCCTCCTCCTCCCATCATGAAGGGAGTCAACTATGTCATCCCTTTGGTTGAGTTGGGCAATGAGACGAGAGTAAACAGGGAGCAAACAGAAGCTTGAAAAGAGCTTGTGCTTTAGAGACTGGAACCTCATGGTCCCCAAGAACACCTGGCCTAGGCTGCTGGAGGACCAGGGGCCATGCCAAGGAAAGATGCATGCCCAGCCAACAATCTGCCCCTTGCCAGCAGAACCTAGGAAGGAGGCCATCCAGCCACCAGCCACCCACTTGTGATGTAAATGTGGGTGTGAGATCAGCCCAGCCTGCTCTGGCCAGCAGGACTGCCAAGCCAGCAACCTACAGAATCACTCGCAGAATCCTGAGCTAGATAGTTGTTGCTTTAAACCACGAATTCTTGGGATGATTCGTTACAAAGTGAGTTAACTGATATAGCCCTTTACACACAATCATAGGAGTTGGGACCACATATATCTTCCCCCATTACAGATGAAGAAACAAGAGCACTCAGGTTATAAATGGCAAAGACAAGCCAGGCACAGTGGCTCATGCCTGTAATTCCAGCACTTTGGAATTGGAGGTAAGAGGATTGCCTGAGTCCAGGGGTTCGAGACCAGCCCAGGCAACTTGGCAAGACCTCATCTCTACGATAAACCAAAAACTTAACTGGGCGCCTGTAGTTCCAGCTACTTGGAAGGCTGAGGAAGGATTGCCTGAATCCAGCAGGTCGAGGCTACGGTGGCTGGGAGCGTGCCACCACACTCCAGTCTGGGCGACAGAGTGAGACTCCAACTCAAAAATAAGTAAATAAATGGCAAAGACAAAAAAGACCCCAGACTGGCTGACCCCAGAACCCATGCTCTTAAACATTATACTGCTGTGGAACTGGCGACTTGGGCGTGGGCATTAAAGTCCTTTAATGGAAGGGAAGGAAAAACTTCCTACTTTTCCACACCAAATTTTTTCTCTTTTTCCTTGCCCTCTGCTCTCCCAGAAGTAAGGAATCAGGAGAAACAGGCAAAGCTGAGGAAGCGTGCGCCAAACCAGGCAGGCTCTCCAAACTCAGCGCCTGCCCTTCTCACACCCGTGCCCAGCATGAGGTGATGCAGCCCTTATTCATGATAGTCTTTTTCTTGTTGTTTTTTTGAGTCAGGATCTCACTTCATTGCCCCGGCTGGATTGCAGTGGCACCACAGCTCATTGCAACCTCAACCTCCTGTGCTGAAGGAATCTACCCTCCTCAGTCTCCTGAGTACCTGGGACTATAGGTGTGCACTACCACGCCCAGCTAATGCTTTGTAGAGATAGGGTATTGTGTTGCCCAGGCTGGTTTCAAACTCCTTAGCTCAACTGATCCTGCTGCCTTGGTCTCCCAAAGCACTGGGATTTCTGGTGTGAACAACTGCCCCAGCCTCATGACAGTCTTTATGTGGAAGTGGCCAAGAGTGGGAGAATATGAATATGGGCTTTCCCTGGATGTTGCCCAAGGTGCCAGGGAATATGGGGTCACGATGAGTGACCTAGAGAATTCCTGCAAGCAAGGGCTTCAGGGAAGCTGATGAGCTTCTAGGCTCTGGGAAGGAAAAGCCATGGGGCAATCTACCCCCCACCCTCCTCCAGTGGCCCAAAACCACTAAATGGATTGAGTCCCTCAGCAGAAGGCCGGCTGTGGTGCATGCTGTCTGCCTCCAGGGAGGCCCCTTTGATGTCTGCTGTGCAGGGTCCCTGGCAAGTGTGTTGATTGGTCCCCACTTACATTCAACACAACAAATGCTTTTCTTTGTGACCCAAGACACAGAATTGTCTTGGGTCACAAAGATTCATGGGCCTTGGATTCATGGGCCAGGTGAGTCCCAGGAACAAGGACAGGGGTATGAATTCAGGATCCATGAGGTCCCCACAAAACCTCTGTCTGGCCAGACTTGGACACTTTGCAGTCTGTTGGCTGGTGTGAACTTCAGGGAGCAGACCAGCTTGTCAAAAGATGCAAACGCAGATCATTCTAGCTGAAGCCCCAGACAAGCCTGGCTGACAGAGCCAGAAGGACCCACAGGGAAGGCAGGGCTCTGATAGGAGTCTTAG